CTTTTTTCTTTTTTCGTTTAAAAAAATAGATTTGTTTCCATTTTATTTTTCTTATTTTTAAAATACACTATATTTGATTATTAAAAATTATAGTTACTTTGATTAATTTTTATTATTAATCACCACCATTAACTGTCTATAGCCATCACTATTAGTCTATTTTTTAATTTTAAAATTATTTTTTAATTGATATAACCAAATTGATTTTCATTTTATCTTGTTTTAGGAAATAATTTTAAAAATTATATTACAAAATAGTTTTTAAAAATTTAAAATTTAAAATAAGAATAGAAACCATACAGGCACTTAGATTTTTTTTTTTTGGGAGAGGGTAGGGCCTGGCTTGAGCAAGGTTATAGATAGGAGCATCAGTGTTAATATATGTATTTGAATTCAATGAACGTACTTAATATAAACATTAAGTGCCTGTATTATTTGAATAGTTGAAATTTAGATTGATGATTTTAAATTCATACCTTATTTGTGATGAATAAATGAGTGAGTTTATTTAAATCATTGATATTGATTTCAACGGCTTAGATAATACAGACACTCAATGTTTAGACCCACAAAAATTTAAATTTGTCAAATATATAGTGTACTCCCTCTAGTCCTATTTGTAAAGTACATTTTAAAAATTTTATTTAATGTCATTTATAAGTCACGGTGTAACTTTTGGGTAATATTTAAAAGGTATTTTTAAAATTATCTTTCATAGGAAAGAAAAAGTAACACGACGTTACTCTTTTGATTTGTTATATAGGGATATATTTAAAATTTATATATTTTTTTTATACTTTTTTACATTAATATTGATGAGTTGATAGAAATGATTCATATAAAAAAAAAAAGCAAAGAAATATCCTCTAATACTCCATATCTATACAGTATCGATGTATTTATTAATAACTATAATCAATCATTATGTCGGTCACTTTCCGTTAGAGGCATTTATTTCAAAAGCTAATTTTACAATGATAAATGTTACTCCCTCCTGTTAAGTGTATGATATTTTTAATTGAATCTTACATTTTAATAAAATAATTAATTATTTTTTAATTAATCTTATTTTTTTATATCTATTCTTATTTAATGGGGTGCTTAACCTTAAAATGAATATAAATTAATTTATTTAATAGGGACACTTTTAAAAAAAAGTGATGATTATACTTTAAAGAATTAAAAATACCTTATATTTTTTAACATCAAATATCTTAAAAAATATTTTATATTTTTAAACAAAGAAAATATATACTTAACCTTATATATGCAAGGTATTTATTTTTAATTAAATCAAGATATGTTAATTTTTGTAGATTATTCATTCTATAATAAACTCTTGTTATTAATAATTTTAACATATTATAATTTACTCGTCTTGATTTGATTAGATAAAAATATATTAAATATATAAAGTTAAGTATTTAAATCTTGATTTTTTTATGATATGGATATATACGCTCGCCAATTTTGGAAATTAATACCAGTAATATTTATATTAATAACTAATAATAATAATTTATAAAATATGGCAAAACTAAAACGCAGTGTTTGCAGGAGTAGTCTGACTTTCTGAGTACCTGACCCTGAAGGCCCAGGTTATTTAAGTAAGTGGATGTTAGGATTGGGAACGGAGCAAGGGATGGGGCGTGAATTGACAATAAGACTGGGCATGCATCTACATAGAATGGGCCTTTCCTTTTGGCCCAATCCCACAGTCAATTCACTGCCTAGCTCCATTCACTTCCCAAATTCCACATTTCACCAAATCAACACAATTTTTTTTTTTACTTTTTTTTAAACACAAGTGTCTTCTTATCAAGGTAAATCTTGTTGGAGACATAATTAAATACTAAATATAAATATATTCTTTAATGAAAATTTATATATTGATTCACCATATAAAAGACTAGTTTCTTGTGCAAGACTAAACCCCAGTTGATAAATAGCACATCATACAAGTTTTATTAATCCCAACAATTCTTAGTAACACTATTTATCTAGATATCAGTTACACAAAATCACAAACGCATGTTTTATTTATACCCATATCCACTTTATTAATAAAGTTTTCTCTAAATATTGATTACTCACAAGATTAGGAGCATAAAAAAATACTTATATAGATCATAAATGTAGGAGCTAGTTGAAAAGTTTGTTTTGATCTTGATTGCATGTATATACTTTTATCTCCTTCATTTATTATTTTTCTCCGAACTGCCTTTTATTAATTGCTCACATCAATATGTGGAATTAATAAGGGTCGTTTTTAATGTAAATAATTAACTAACGCACATTCTTTACAAATAACTAATTAACATAATTTTCTTAATCCATATGAACGACCCCCTCTATTTCAAAATGTCCTTTTAAGGAAAAATTTTATGTTTCATTTTATATATTCCTTCAGAGGTTCAAATGAAAGCAGTACTTATCAACATTTTGTCATATTATATCCTTATTTACTTAATCAATTTTAAAGAGCATTTATTAAACTTCATGGACGGTAACGATGTATTAATTGCATTTGGTAATATCGTGCTTAAAAACCTTAAAAGACCTATAATTGAAATAGAGCTAGGGAGTATTTAAGTAGCTTCAAATGAAATTCAAGACATGAGTATTACTTATATAGAAGGGACGCTTGTAAACAGGAGACGTGTGAGGCGACATGGATGGCACCTGATGCAGTCCAGATTAGAATCAGATGGAGAGTGCCAGAGTGGGTCTGCCTTTGCCCCCACAGAATATTGTACTGTCCAGGACCAGGACACTCAATCATGAGACCTGCAGAGACCCACATGTACATGCTTTGCATGACTCTCGTACGACCATCGCCCTTCGCAGGTCAAGCACCTTGATGATGAGATTTCAATAATATCACGTGTCTAGCTTCCCCCACCCAACTCTCGATGGCCTTAATATCATTCCACCTCCTCTTTATTTATTTATTTATTGTTCACTAAGAACTATTGCGAGCCTCAAGTCGTTCAGCCTTATTTCCTCTGATATAATGATAAATGTTTATCATCCTCCTCTCGATTTACATATCGACATGACAACACGGGCACCACTAATTAATTATATGTACTTTAATGAATAATGATTGTATGCATGCATGTCATGCAATCAATCCACCACTAATTAATATGATTTCAGCCGAGAATTTTTTAGTGAGATGTGCAACACAGCGGGGTAGGATTAGGTGGTGGATTAATATTCCCCCCTTTTAAAATTTAGGGGGTTTAATATAAAGGATAGGAAACCTAACCACATCTTAATTTTCTTTGTTACTCTGATATTAACCAATGGAACTATTAAAGCACCTTTGACAAAAGAGGCGCGCGCGCGCGCATATAATATATATTCCACATAGGTACGGGCAGATGTCGTTGCAATCCCAGTGGTGCGTAGACATGTGTAGGGTATGATCAGCTTCAGCGTGAAGACTTTTTGTAATGGAACGATCCATTTTTCTGAAGGCTAATCAGTCAAATTGTTGATGGAAAAAGAATCAAATCTCTAACTACTAATGACAGAAATAGGCACTCATTCCCTCGCTTTTTATTCCCTCACTCTAATATATTGTACATGCACACCCATTTATATATGTTTGTGTACGTGCTCTCTTTGTTTCGGACTTTCTGCAAATTCAACTCGTTCCAAATATTTTAAGAAATTCAAACTATTGATAATCGCCAGCTAATACTGTCACATAAATCTATCTTCAATCATTTGAAGCTTCCTCCCTCCTTCGCCGCCCTAATCGAAGGTTCCGGTACAGCGATACTCTAAAAATGACCTTTATGCAGAATGGGGATAGTGCTATAAGATGATTATACTTGGCTTTATCGGTTCATTCTTCTGCTCTTTAATCTTAATTAATCATTAATGGGGTTGCACTGCAAATAAATCTCTCGTTGAAAATATGGAACGAAGGCAGAAAAGATTTTTGCAAGAAAAATCTCCTTCTAGTATTAGGATTTAATTTATTTCTGATTCTGAACCAGACATTATTTAAGCATTGATCGGATCACAAACTCTCAGATTATCCCAGGATAGACTGCATAGATATTCTAACTCAGATAAATTAATATTCCGGCCACGATCTTTTATACATGAGTGATATAAATCGCGACTGTCCTCTCATGACTTCAAAATTTTTCAGTGTGTGTGTGTGTGTGTGTAGTACTCTGATTTAGTATATGTTAAGATAAGATCAGATTCAACTGATCAAAGAGGCCTGTACCATATAGTATGACTTTTTTATATATAATTGCATATTATGATTTTTTTTTTAATACACTTCGATTCTTTTGGTCGTTTCAGACAATACATGCCTTCAGTTTAGGTTCGTCGGGACCTTTAATTTTTTTTAAAAAATTATAGATTTCTTAAATATGCTTTCCTTCCCCCCTGGTTCCGTTTAGGAGACAATCAGCCTTCAATCCACTTCGGCTACCTGAAAGTGGATTGAAGTAAATTAAGGATGCCTCTTCATATAGTTAAATTGTAATTCTGTTTAGTGAAACTATTATTCCTGGATAATTTATTGACTGTCACTCCGTTTTGTCTCCCGCATAACCTCCCTCCCAAATCGTTCAATGAGAAATAGAAAAGCCACATTACGGATGGCCTCTCCGCAACAATTTTAACCTTCTTGTGATTTCATGCTCATCCGATCCTAAACATTTTTATCCCAGTCCTTGAAAAACACGCAGCCAAAATATTAGGAGTCTAGGCTACACAATAAAAATTAACAAAAACAAAAACAGGAGAAAAGGCAAAAAAAAAAAAAAAAAACAAAGGAAGCCAAATTTCAACTGGAAGTTGCACTATTATTGAATAAAATGATAATGACTTTCAAACTAACTCGATGAACTGTCCGAAAACTATGTACGAAGACACGCATTAATATGCTGATATATGTGTGTGTGTTTGTATATATATAGATGAATATATATGTATATATATATATATATGGAGAGAGAGGGAGGGAGGGAGGGAGACTTTAAGGTCCATATATGCAAGTGTTCCGATAAGCAAACAACGCATACGTACTAGTTAACACACAGCATCATGCAAACCGTGGATCTAGAAATGAAATACTAAGATAACTCATGCATAATGGGGTCCTCGAAAAATAATTCAGTCCAATAAGACGAGGAAATTCCTCCATAGCTAGAAGAGCTACTGGTGGCATCTCCAGCCAGAGGGGGCATAGATGGCAACATTGATGAAGATTCATGATCAGGCGTCGTATGATCCCCTTGACTAATCATTGTAAAGTTTGCACCTTGACCCTTCTCACTACTGTTCAAACATGATTGCGAGCTGAAAGGGACTTGTGGTGGGTCTGACATGTGAGATAACATGGTTGGGTGGTGGAGTGGTTGGGAGCTATCTATCCCATGAGAAAATGAGCCTGGATTAATATTCAACTGTGGGTAGTTCATATCTGGGTTCTCTTTCAAATTAGACATTGAATTGAGCAAGTTGATAGCTTCCATGTTCGTGATGATGCCATTTTGGTCATAGGAGTTGGTAGTGTTCAAGGAAGTCGTGGATTGGAGTAAAGAGTTTAAATATTGAAGCTTTGCCAACTGAACTGCCTCGGCTTGTAGTTTCACAGCCTGATCATCCCAAGCTTGAGGATGGTGATCCATGAGGTCTGTCATGTTGACCAGAGCCAGCAGATACGGCAAGGTGGAAACAAGATCTGTTCGTGGCTGGTGGGTCATTGGATCAAAACCCATCTGAATTAACTTCTTCTTTAGATGCGTGTTCCAGAAATTCTTGATCTCGTTATCAGTCCTGCCAGGAAGATGGGATGCAATTGCCGACCATCTATCAGAGGAAACAAACATGAGAGAATAATAAGTCAGAACAATTCAAATATAAGCTCTAAACAAAAGTCAGAGATACTGAAGCAAAATCGGAATTCATCCTCTTATGTCCACACACAATACTGGCACCTCCCCAGTAAACAGAAATAGGGAAGTTTTGAGTCATAACATAGTTCAAGGGTAAAAGAAGATGGATAAAGTACTTGTTCCCAAGGATGGAATGGAGACGCAGTATGGTTTGCTCTTCTTCTTGAGAAAAATTGCCCCTCTTGATGTCAGGCCTTAAATAGTTGGTCCACCTTAGCCTACAGCTTTTCCCACATCTATTCAGACCTGCAAGTTTCACACAAAGGGAGAAATGAGGGAGCGCTAAAAATAGCAGGAGAGATTTAGTTTGATCTGTATCAATATATATATAGAGAGAGAGAGAGAGAGAATCTCGCATATATAAAACTAACAGAGACAGACCAGCTAGCTTGGGAAGAGCTCTCCAACTTCCATGGCCGTGTTTCTGAATGTACTGAACAAGCTTCTCATCTTCCTCAGGAGTCCAGGGTCCTTTCTTGAGGCCATTCTCATCGCAGCAGGGGGATCTTCCCATTCTGTATATAGCTAGCTAGATCGATCTCTCAGGCTATTACTTCTTTGTTCTTTCTCCTTTTACCACCAAATTAAACATGGGGCTGGGGCTTACTAGCTATTTATATCCAGTCTTCTTTGCTTGCTTCGTGTCGTACGTCATTTACCGGCATTTCAGAGTTGCTTTATTAATTAAAGATATTAGGAAACTTCTATATGATTAATGAGTATATATGAACTGTGCACAATAGCCTCACGCCTCCGCAGCAATTGACAAGTATACCCATAGAAGCATTCATGCAAAACATGCTAGGTAATACTTTTTATTAATTCTTCTTTGACAATTGATAAAATCACAATTATTTTGACAAATCTGCATACTTCTTTATTGGATAGCATCAACTTTTTAGATCATATGTAATTCCCAGTTCACTGAACATGCAAACGAAAAACTCAACGTATAACTAACGACTCTTTCTACTATACCAGACACCAGTTCTTGGTTTCCTACATATTCGTGCACATGACTACTAGCACTGTAAAAGTCACCACAATAAAGAGATCCAAGTTAATTCAATGTGCACGTACGTAATGCTAGCATAAAAAACTGGTATAAAAATGATTAAGAGAAAGCAGGATCGACGTACGCCAGCAGTTTGATTGTTCAATTTTCTCGACTTCTGATGTGAATCATGTGATCTAGCTACGCAGAGTAAACTGGACAAATTGGTAATTGTAACTTCAATTTTTATTAACGTGGCATTAAAGTATCAGCAATAGGACGAAGCTTTCAAATCAGATTACGTAACACGTGGCGAATGAATGCTTGTCGGAGGAACTTACTCCATGCACGCAACGAGCTAGGAGGCTGTTTGTCCTATCCGTCATAATCTGCATGGCCTCAACGTCCTCTCTCCTTGGATTTCATGCGACCACAGAGAATTATTCATTCAATAATACCACTAAATTTATTAATCTCACAGGAGAGACTACTGTGCAAGGGTATTGTTAACATGTATCCATACGAAAATATTATAGTCAGAAAATTGTTTCGTAATGCACATTTTTTGACACATTTTTATTCACAATACTCTATATTATAAGGTATAAACGATACTCTATATTTCAACTACTAAATTATATTTGTCATTAATGCATTTAATGAATGTATTGAATGTATCCGCATGTGCTGGTTGCTCGACAAGTAAATATACATATAACTGAATATCCAAACAGGTAAACTAAAAGATCCATGGAAGTCGTTGTAGATAAATTATGTATAAATAGAAGAGAGAAAGCTGGAGGTTAAAAAGTCAGAGGAAAGCCAAGGTAGTAGCTAGTACTGCATATATAGTAGATCGATGTTGGTTGATTTCACATTGTCTCTGAAAAAGACACATAGGATGTGACAGCTTTTGACTCGGAGGGTGGTGCAGTTGGAGACGTGAAGGAGAATTTGGTGCAGCAAACGCTCACAATATTTTCTTTTTCGTAATGACCTTTAAGACATTCTTCTCATGCACGGTTGAGAAATTAAACCTTTCAATGGCATTTGTTGGTGTCTTGTCCTCAAGCACCTTGTTCTGTTGCATGTTTTCTCTGCCATGGTATCCTCCTTCTTCTGAAATCAAACTCAGCAATTAAATTAATAGCCAAAAAAAGGATATTGCTTGGTACAAGACAAGCGTTTTATAAATTGTTGGATATGCTGGCTAGCAAAAGATCGCAAGTTAGACCTTAGTTAATTTATTCAATTAATGACATGAGCTAAAGTTGCGATTAAACTAGCTTTTTTAAGGTGGGGTTAAAACATATAGTGTAACATATGGAACCCATCTTGCTTCACGCATAAGCCACACATTTTCAAACCTAAAGTTTGATTGTTTAATTTTGCATCAAACCCTACATGTTGAAGAGAGTCAATAAGTTAACTAGAGAGATCGTTTTTCAAAATTATCAAATCTTTCTTGTTGCTTGTTCATATGTAGTAAATATTTTGTTGCCTCCATCTCCCCACCAAGAATTACAGTTGTTCGTTAACTGTTCATACGCACAATCTGGAGTTTGGTCCATCAATTTGGCATAGGCCTTGTCGGGGACCATGTCCATGACTCCATGTGTATCACTAAAAGGAGGCACTGATGTAAGAACAACTTTATAATTTCAATAAAATATTATCTTTGATTTCAGTGTAAGCTAAACAACTGATTTGCTTGCTCGAATGGGTTTCCAACAAATACATTAAAAAAGAAAGAAGGACTTCATGGTGGCTTACAAATACGCTATAATAGAAATTTATAGGCTCAATTATAATTTGATCCCTTAACTTATTAATAAAAAAAAATAGTCCGCCATCAACCATCAACCATCAACCATGGATGAAACTCTCATTGTTCTAATTAAAATAAATCATTTTTCATGATGCAATATTAGTAATGCATTTCCATCTCTGGGGAAAAAAAGGTTAAAAACAAACTCTTTAACGTTCAAAAAATATTAAAAAAGACAAGAATCTGGGACAAACGGGATGACAATGAAAACCAAACAATATACATACACACATAAAATAAAGGTAAAAAAATTCTTTTTATTTGAGTATTTTTTTTTTATATTTTCACATTCTAGTTACGCGCGTGACTGAAATGAACATGTAAATTTCTGAATCAATCACTATTAACGGAATTGGATTCGGAATGATATCAAGGAGAGCTTAAAAGATTTTCAAGATTTGATTATCACAAAAATTTAAATTATTAGATTTGAGCCCGGGAGATTTTTATTTTTGTCACATATAAACTCAAATTCTAGATTGCGTTCAAACTAGATTTATTTAATAATCAAAGAAAACGTATTCTACAAGATAAATATCTGTTAAAAAATAGAGATTACAGCGAGTTAAGGGGGGAGCAGGTGTTGCATATTGTGGGGGGAGAGAGAGAACTGATAATAAGGACGATCCCAAACAAGCTTATATGTACATTGAACGCGGCCGATATACATGCATGCATATACATGTGCCTGTAATAAAACAACGATGGTAATTAATGTGGCCAGCCTTCTAAACTTGCGTTAAGAAATGAGAATTCGTCTGAGCAGACACCCAAAGGAGTGTGCAAATATATGGTCCATATCAAACGAATCTGCTAGCTACCAGAGTGGCTTCTGAAAATAATACGTTTTCCGCAAGATTGAAGATATCGAATGCTAAGTGTTAATGAAACGCGATGAGTTTGCATTTGCTGCTGCAGGCAGCTTCATGTACGAGTCATTACTTGTTCAATGCTTTCGTTGATAACCTAATCTTGACCAACACACAAACTTGGTTGGCTGTACTTTCCATCCTCTAATAATACCCTATAGGTCTTACCAGTATTGACTTATATCCAACCCCTTCCTCTTTGTTATATGGATTGGATAAAGAACATATATTATATAAGCCAAAGTGGAACAAATATTCAGCATCTGAAAATTTAATACCCTCGTATTGGCTGGTATTTCACTGCGGCTTCAGGGTTCGGACATTTTCTCTCGATCATTCTCTCTTTTGTACGTTTTGGTGTGTTTTAATTTTTTTTCACGCACATGTGGAAGTAATTCGATCTGCTTAAAGTATGATAATGTATTAAGTAGGGATGTCTTCTCCAACAAAAACTTAGGTCCTGTTTGATTATTAAAAAGAAATGGAATGAAATGAACTAAAAAAATTAAAACAAAAATAAATTAAATCATCATTTTTTCTATGATAAGTATGATAAAACTTATTAATATATATTACAAATATGAGAATTATCACACCTTCAAAAATTTTTATGAATCATGATTCCCAACCTCATGAATTAAATTACTTATCCCTTTTATGAATGTGTTTACTTATCTCTTTTGATCATTTTATTTTTACCTATATTTTTTCAATCTATTCCATTCTATTCCTTTCTCATAACCAAATAGGACCTTAAACTTTAATTTGACACGTTGTGAGCCAGTGAAATTAATCCTTTCTAACTTATCTTCGAGTCTGATTTCAAAATGAAGGTTGATATGGTAACCGGGGAATGCACTAACCCTTCAGTCATTTCCCCTGTTTTGACTCTCATTTATGAGCTCCGTAAGCGACACTGGGGAAACCATATTTACTTCACACTAGGGAGGCTAATGTCGTCGCAGATAGGACTGCAAAGAAGGTCCTCACTGATAAGAATCATTTTATGTTTATTGACAAAGTCCCAGACTCACTGAGGACTCTTGTGCTAATAGATGAACCGGGATCTCTATCCCCCGGCTTGTTATTTGTAGGTAATTGGGCTTCGCGCTCCCTGTAGCAAGAAAGCTAATTAAATCAAAAAAAAGGCCTCAAGATACCCTGAACTTGTTTGCATCCAAGGGAATCTGTTCCATCCCACGCATCTTTGAAATATTGTCCAGCTTCAACTCTCCTGCCTTGAAAATGGCCCACACCCTACAGGCCCAGAAATCATTAATAAATATTGACGACAGAGGGATAGATAACAAAACGCAAGATATATATTTTTTTTGGGAATGAAAATGGGACTTTATATTAACAAACTAACTAGAATACAACATGAAGACTACAAACCAAAAGACAAAAGCCTTGCATCTTTCACTATCCAACTCTCTAACCAAACCTAAAAAGGTTGATAGTTAAAGGGGCCAAAAGAATCTATGCTAGCAGAACCAAGGTTTAAAAGATTAACAAGAGCTATACCATCATTACAAGAATAGACTAGAGAAATTCCAATCCCCAAGTTTCATGGCTTTATGTCTCTCAAAATGTTGGCGTAGCAGAAATGAGCAGTGGTATTCCTAGTGATCCAATTATAACTTTGAGTATAGTGGACAATGACTTCAATATTGTGATATCCTTTAGCCCTGCAAAGCTGCGGAGACCCCTTTGAAGCACACTAAGTACAGCAAATTCACTGGAGCTTTGATGTTCATTCTTGAAAAAACCAACTTCTCAATCCCCTTCATTTTTCCAAGTGATTCCCACTACAATGCTTCGGCCGCAGACATGCATATAGGGTGAAGGATTAGGGGTTTAAAGAATATAAGAAAACAGAAAAGACATACACAAGTA